TTCACCATGTCACAGGGCAACACAGCAACACGGGACTGGCTCACGGAGTGGCAGAAGATTGCGGCTGTGCCCAATCTGAACTTACCATTCGAGCATCTACGCCGTGAGTTCTACAACAGGTCCTGTGCTGCATTGAGCCAGRCTCTTGGTGATCGCGAGCAGTACTCAACCTTTGCTGAGATTATTGACAAAGCAAGGGAGATCATCAAGACCAACAGGTGAGCTGCACACGAGAAAGCAACATCATGGCAACCGACCTATGTGGAGAAGGTACGAACTGGTCCGCGACAGCAGCACTTTGTTGCAGTCCAGCAGGACAGTGGAGATAACCCTGCAGCCACTCCAGCATCAAGTGACGGAGATCAGGTGGTCGTTGTCCAGCCGCGAAGCACCAACAAGTCCCGCAACAATGGGAAGGCGAAATCCGCATCGCAGGCTGGAAATGGACAGTCAGGACAGTTTCCATGGGTCAAGTTTGGCTTGACCGAGGCGGAGTACAAGGTCCGCGGCTGCTACGGCAACTGCTATTGGTGCAACAGTACCAAGCACAAGACCTCCCTGTGCCAAGATTAGGGCAAGGAGGATGTGCGCCCCCGCCTCAGCTCGGGAAACTGAGCTCCGCGGAAGGTGAGGCGACTCCACCTTCTACTCCGCCAGGTTTGGCCGCCTTGCTAGCGGCGTCCTGCACATCTGGGAAGGATGCGAATGCCGCAAGTCCTCGGTATACTTACGAGGATTATGCTGTCCACTTGGTTCCACCGCTGGACCAGCCGCTCCACGTGCAACAGTCCACCGTATGCACAGTTTCATCACCAGCGGCAACCGATTCGGCAGTTTCGCCGCAATCTATCGCCGRGGATTCGACGTCATGGTCAAGACTTGAAAAGCTCGACCCATTGACGTTCATGGACTTCCAGTGGATGCCCGTTCCCTCGACCGGCCGATTGCCGAAACCACATTGCAACGTGCTTATGACACAAATGGGGGACTACTTGCAAACTGCAGTACCAGCTCTGTTGATGGACGCCGGAGCAGAGGTTGTCGACCTTCACGCTTTAATCGCGAAGATCGACCGTGAGTTCAAGACGCAACGGTACGACGACATCGACGCACCATTGCTATACATACGATTCAGATCGGAGAGGCGACCTGCAGTGCCTTGATCGATTGCGGAGCATCTCGCAACTACATCAGCCAGGACTTCATGGTACGCGCCGGCCTTGGCCCACGTGTCCGGAGGAAGTCCCAACCTATGCAAGTCACCCTGGCAGACGGTCATACGCACAAGTCCATCCACCGGTGCATTGTTGCCGTCCCAGTATACTTTGCCCCTCACGCAAGTAAGGCGGTGTCCTTTGACATTCTGGACACCAAATTCGACATGATCTTGGGCATGTCATGGCTGCGAAGCAAGGATCACCCGGTGAACTTCTTCAACCCACCGTTCACATTCGTGACCGGAACGGAGTATTTGTTCCATGCACGGTGCCTCTTCCTCATCCTTCCTCATCCTTCGATCAGCATGTGGAACANCAGACGGTCATACGCACAAGTCCATCCACCGGTGCATTGACGCCGTCCCAGTATACTTTGCCCCTCACGCAAGTAAGGCGGTGTCCTTTGACATTTTGGACACCAAATTCGACATGATCTTGGGCATGTCATGGCTGCGAAGCATGTATCACCCGGTGAACTTCTTCAACCGCACCGTTCACATTCGTGACCGGAACAGAGTATTCGTTCCATGCACGGTGCCTCTTCCTCATCCTTCGATCAGCTGCCACTTGGTATCCGCCGCAAGCATGCGAGTTTCCATCATCAGAGACGACATCGAGGAGATGGGGGTGTGTTTTCTCCATGCCCTCCCGCCACATGACGCTTCATCGACGGACTCACCTTCGGATCCATGCATCACCGAACTTCTCGACGCGTACAGCGATGTATTTGAAGGCCCGCACGGAGTAGTACCGGATCGACTTATCCGCCACGAGATCATCCTTGAGGACAGGGTCGTACCTCCGCGCGGTTGCATCTATTGAATGAGCGAGGAAGAGTTAAGTGTGCTTCGGGCACAACTCGACGACCTTCTAGAAAAAGGCTGGATTCGACCTAGGTCATCGCCATACGGTGCTCCTGTTCTCTTCGTCCGGAAGAAGAACAAGGACCTGCGGTTGTGCATCGATTATAGCAAGCTCAGCTCGCAGACGATCAGGAACGCCGACCCTCTCCCACGCATCGACGACCATCTCGAGCGATTGGGCGGCGCCCAGTTCTTCTCTAAGATGGATCTCAAGTCAGGTTACCACCAACTCAAGATTCGCAAGGAGGATCGCTACAAGACCGCGTTCAAGACTCAGTATGGGCATTTCGAATGTTTGGTCATGGCCTTACGAATGCCCCAGCCACTTTCCAAGCGGCTATGACGACGGAGTTCCGACACATGCCGGATTATTTCGTACTTATCTACCTCGACGACATTCTGGTTTACAGCCGGAGTCTGGACGAGCATGTGGAACACCTGCGCACCGTTTTGGAGCGGCTACGACAGGCCAAGTATGAAGCAAACCGCGACAAGTGCGAGTTCGCACAGCAGGAGCTGGAGTACTTGGGACACTATGTGACGCCGCAAGGCATCCGTCCGCTTGAGGACAAGATCGAGGCCCCAATAGTATGGCCCTAGCCCACCAACACCACAGACGTTCGTTCATTCATGGGGTTGGCGGGCCACTATCAGCGATTCATCACCGGATACTCCAGGATTGCTGCACCTATGACGAGGTTACAGTCGCCAAAGGTGCCATTYGTATTCGATGACGACGCACGCCGGTCATTCCAAGCACTTAAGACGGCTATGCTCATGGCACCCGTCCTTAGCATCTATGACCCCACCCTGCCGACGCGAGTGCCTATGGACGCTTCCGGCTATGGCATTGGGGCAGTCTTGGAACAGCACGACGGCGACGAATGGCACCCTGT